TAGGTAACAAAGTTTCCAAAGAGACTGAGACACAGGGAGAGGCAGAAGACCAATTTAAGGGAGCAAAGTGATCAGCAGTTAAAAGAGAGTGCTTCTTGTGTTTAGCACCATAAGGGATGGATAAGAAATATAAATATAACTCATAACCTCCAGGAGAGACAGAATTAATAGCCATTCTTATTATTTATATCACATCTTATAAATCTTTTATAAGGGGCACCTGGGTGGCTCAGTGGATTAAGCCGCTGCCTTCAGCTCAGGTCATGATCTCAGGGTCCTGGGATCGAGTCCCACATCGGGCTCTCTGCTCGGCAGGGTGCCTGCTTCCCTCTCTCTCTCTCTCTGCCTGCCTCTCCGTCTACTTGTGATCTCTGTCAAATAAATAAATAAAATCTTTAAAAAAAAATAAATAAATCTTTTATAAATGGCTACACTTACAGAGTCTTGTGTAATTCTCCTATCAATCCTATGAGATGGAAATTGGCATTATTTCGTTTTGTAAATAAAAGAACTGAAGTTTAGAGTGTTAGTTTTCTTGAAATCAGACAGTAGTAAGTGGCGGAGGTGGAAAGCACACAGATTTGGCCCCAGAGTCTCTGCCCTTCACTGCTTTCATATCTATCTTGCCTGGAGAGCTGCTCAGCCAGAAAGTCAACCCATGTAGGGGCTGTGCACGGGCTAGGGTAATTCCTACTAATAAACAGAGGTTGTGGGGACAGGTGCCGATAATACTTGGTGGTGGGCATCTATCCTCCAGATGTCTGCTTTTCATGCATCTTCCTAGAATGTACCTATTGTCGAAAACATCACTGGCCAGTGGTTGTTTCTTGTGAACATTTTTAATTCACTGTCCATCATAAACCTAAACATGACATGTCTAAAATGTAGCTTAACCCACTTCGCCCAATCCAATCAGAACTCCAACCTTGATTTTGTTATTTAAAAAAATTTTTTTTCTTAAGATTTTATTTATTTGAGAGAGAGAGACAGTGAAAGAGAGCATGAGCGAGGAGAAGGTCAAAGAGAGAAGCAGACTCCCCTGGAGCTGGGAGCACAATGTGGGACTCGATCCTGGGACTCCGGGATTATGACTTGAGCTGAAGGCAGTCGCCCAACCAACAGAGCCACCCAGGCGCCCCCACTTTGCTATTTCTTTTAAGAATGTCAATATTGGGGCGCCTGGGTGGCTCAGTGAGTTAAAGCCTCTGCCTTCGGCTCAGGTCGTGATCCCGGGGTCCTGGGATCGAGCCCCACATTGGGCTCTCTGCTCAGCGGGGACCCTGCTTCCACCTCTCTCTCTCTCTGCCTGCCTCTCTGCCTGCTTGTGATCTCTATGAAATAAATTAAAAAAAAAAAAAAAGAATACCATTATTGGGGCCCCTGGGTGGCTCAGTCTGTTAAGCGTCTGACTCTTGATTTTGGCTCAGGTCTTGATCTCAGGTTCGGGAGTTCAAGCCCCACATTGGGTTCCATGCTGGGTGTGGAGCCTGTTTAAATAAAAAGAACGTCATTATTAACCCAGTCATCTATGCTCAACAGCTATATAAACAATAATAGCTAACACTTCCTGAGAACACATTCCAGTTATTGTGCTAAGCATCTTAGACATCATCCATTTAATCCTCTCAACAACCCTATGAGGAAGGTACACTTATTAACCCCACTTTATAGATGTGGAAATGGAAGCTTATGTAAATTGCTGAAGGTGACAGCTCAGCGTCATCTTTCTCGTTACTCATCTCCACCCTCCATAGCTCATGAATCACCAAATCCTCTCAATTCTCTCTGTACTGTTTCTTGCATTTATTGCTTTCGTTCCATGTCTGTTTCCACTGCACCAATCTTAGCCCTTTTTGACTTAGGTCTGACTTGTTGCCAGTGTCCAATATGGTCTCTTTTGTTCCATGATTCCCTTCCTTAGATCTTTCTTTGGTCAGACTAAGCCACTTAAAGTCCACTTTTATCTCATCCATTTTCAAACTCAAACCTTCAAACTGGAGGAGAGATATCCAAATTCCCCCAGAGGCAATCCTTAGTGTGACGGTAGCAATCATTTCTTGAAAAATTAAATAACTTCATTAGATTATAATTAAAAGGAAAAAATGTTACAGTCTTCGGTTGAAATTATGGGATAAGACCCATCATAAAGATAAGCAAACATTGTACCCAATAAATGTGTTGCTCAAACTTCATTTGTTCCAGCATTAGGGAGCTCTTACGGGCCATCTGACCATCCTAAATATGTAATTACTTTTTTTAGAGGCAAGCCTTTGCATAAAAAAAGCAGTTTTGTAAACGTGCTTAGTGTTTTCTAATATGTGCATGTGTATTTATACATGTCATTATTAGTATTTAAATAACAAACGTACATGGTGATAAAAAAACTGAATCTGGGGCACCTGGGTGGCTCAGTTGTTAAGTGTCTGCCTTTGGCTCAGGTCATGATCCCAGGGTCCTGGGATTGAGCCCCACATTGGGCTCTCCGCTCAGCAGGGAGCCTGCTTCTCCCTCTCCAACTCCCCCTGCTTATGTCTCTCTCCCTGTCAAATAAATTAATTTAAAAAAAAAGAAAAAGAAAAACTGGATCAAAATACCAAAAAAAGGATATAACAATAAAAAAAACTTATCTCTCTCCCAAGATTGAATTAGGTGATTCATACTTTCTTCTTTACCCATTTCTGTAGTTTATAGACTTTTAGCAATGCACAGGTATGGCTTTAGAACAGAAAATAAATCTAATAAAGCATAATTTTAAAAAGGAACCACATTTTCCATCTTTCCCTGCTACTTATAATATAAAAGCTAAATTCTCTAGCTGAGGCCCTGTGTAATCTGGCCCCAAACTGCTTTCCAGGCTTATTATATACTATTCAATACAAATGTTCTGCTTCAGTTAAACTATTTTAAACACATTTTCCCTGCTGTGTCTCCTACTGTGTGTTTTCTCTTCCTGGAATGAGCTTCCCCATTCTCTTTTAATATCCCAATTCAATCTATTGTTCAAGATCTAAGTGAGTTCCACATACAGCTTTTCCTAAGGAGGAAGGAATCAGTGTGTAGTCCGCAGTCACCATGTGGGCTGCACACATGTTTGGTGCTTTCTGTGGTATCCATTTGAACCTCACAATAGCTCTTGACAGTTGGCATTAATTACCTTCTTTTTACAGATGAGGAAACTGAGTTTCCTTCAAGTCATGGCCAGTATATGGCAGAGCTGAGATTTGTAGCTGGCTAACGGTTCCCCAGCTCAGACAACTCTCATTTGTTCCAACTTTCATACCTCATATCTGTGTAAGTTTGACCAATAATCACAGAAGTGCATTTTAAGACAGTGGCATTGCTTATACTATTATTTTGAACTACTTATATTTTGCATTTTTGTCTTCTCAACAAAACCTTCTGTGAGAAAACTTGGGTGTGAGTTCTCACTTGCCATTTGCTAGGTATGTGTCTTTGAGTCAACTCCTTAACCTTTCTCAGACTCAAGTCAGGTAATAATAATACCTATTTTTTTTTTTTTAAGATTTTATGTATTCATTTGAGATAGAGAGAGCATGAGCAGAGGAAGAAGCAGGGTCTCAATCCCAGGACCCTGGGATCATGACCTGAGCCGGAGGCAGACACTGAACCATCTGAGCCATGCAGGCACCCCAATACCTAACTCTTAGGGTCATGAGAGTTAAAATCCATATATATATATATATATATATATATTCTCTATATATATATATATTCTCTACTATATATATATATAGTAGAGAAGAGCTGATTTTTGTACATTTGACAACATGGTGATATTAATTTTCAAATTCCATTTAATTTCTAGTTTCTTCATAGTCGTGGTTTGAGATATTCCTAAGATGTGGTGTCCTAAGGAGGGCTAGAACTTTTTCTTTAATACAAAGACTGGCTTTACACAAATAAATAAATCAACTTACACATGAGTGAGTTGGGGAGGGGCACAAGGTGAGGGAGAGAGAATCTCAAGCAGGCCCACACCCAGGGCGGGAGCCTGGGTGTGAGGCTTGATCTCACGACCCTGAGATCATGCCACCAGCTGAAATCAAGAGTCTGACGCTTAAATGACTGAGCCACGCAGGCGCCCCTATACAAATTTAAAAAGCATTTTTCAATTAAAACAGCATTTTGCTATTTGGTCAGAATATCCTGTCCTGCTGTTTAGCTTAGTTAACACTGAATAAGAGGTTCAGTTACTGGTTAAAGATTGTTCCTAAAGGTAAATGTTTACATTTATAAACATGAATATTGTTATTGAATGTTGTCATTTTTAGTCCAGAAAGTCACTGTGAATTTTAAAACAGAGCACATTGAGTCCTGTATTTACTCAGAAAATGGGAAAGCCATTAAAAATTGCTGGCCTTCAAAAACAAACATCATTTTAAAAATTATTATTCTTTATATCAGAGAAAAAGGACATCACTATATTTATTCCAATTATTTTTCTTTAGGACCAGATGAAAAGAAGCAAAATTTACAAATACTTTCTAGCCTTTTATTTATTTACTTACTCCCCACTACCATCATCATCTTTTCCTGGTTATAAAAGCATTATTCAGCCTTTGAAAATAAGTACATCTGATGTTAGAAATGATCATTCCTTTACTCTTAAAATCGTACTTCACAGTTATTAAAAAGATTTGTCAAAACAGCCCTGACAAAACCCCCAAATGTGTGCTCTACATAATTTGAAAATAAAGTTTGGGCTGTAAGTAGCAGGAGTCCATCTGCAACTTTCCCAAGCTTGCAACAGAGACATTCTTACTTCTCAGGGCACTCCTCTAATACCTGCTTATGATGAATTGTTTGATTAAACAAAACAAACAGTCTGGTTATGAAATCATTACGATCTTTTAGGGTGTAAGTGTCTTACATCTGTCTGTAGTGAGGTATGATCCTTTCTTCCTTAACAGTCAAGCTTCTTGAAAGAGTAGTTTCTATTCCACTGTTTGTATTTTGTTCCTTCTCGTTTCCTCTTCTACTCACTGCAATCTCGCCTTTGCAAGACTGTCTTCAGGAAAACCACCGTGTTCATTGGTCACGTTGCTAAATCAGAGAAAAACTTTTTAGACCTTACTATCAGGGCTTCTCTGAGCATGAACTCAGTGGGGTTCTTTCTGGGCTTGACAATCTTTTTTTGTTGTTGTTAAAGATTTTATTTATTTATTTGACAGAGAGAAATCACAAGTAGGCAGAGAGGCAGGCAGACAGACAGAGGAGGAAGCAGGCTCCCTGTCAAGCAGAGAGCCTGATGCGGGACTTGATCCCAGGACCCTAAGATTATGACCCATGAGCCACCCAGGCGCCCTTGACAGTCTTTTCTTGACTTTTTGTAACGGTTATGTCCACTGCTTTTCTAGTTTGTCCTTCTTGGCCTCCCTAAGAGCTTCTTAAAACATCCGTAATTCCCTTGATTCCCAACATCTTTTTTCTCTTGCTCTCCCTGCATGACCTCATCTATTGGCCATGACTAAACTAAAATGTGGCTAATGAATTTCAAATCTTTCTCTCTTGCCCCGTCATGGCCTCTGAGCTTCAGACTCCTGAATACAACAGTCTATTCCTCTTGAGGTTCCATAGGCACCTTGAACTCAACATTCTTAAAATTCAACCTGTCTTTCCCCTGTGATGTAAATAAGTAGCACTATCATCCACCGATTTGCTAGAGTCAGAAACTTAAGAGTCATCCTTGATACTGCCTTCCCCCTTAACAGTTCAGATCTAACTGGTGACGGGTTCTTTTGATTCTAGTCTTATAACATCTCTTGGATGTGTCTTCTCTCCATTTATATTTAATTCTCTAACTTGCACAAGTGTCTCTCATCTTGTTTTATGTCTTCCCTACCCAACCGTTCTTTACACAGCAAAGGCCCACCTGATCTTGTCATTTCTCCTGCTTAAAATCTTCCAGCAGCTTCCTCCCCGCTTGCCTTGAACGAAGTCCAAGCCCTTTGGCATAGCTTCTACAGCCCTTCTGATCTTATTTCTGCTTAGATGTGGAGGCCATGTTATTCAGATCGTAGCTCTCCCACTTACTGTGTGATTGAACAAGTTCACTGTAAAATGGAGGTGATAGTAATTGTGAGGATGGAATGAGATCGTTTGCAAGAAGTGCCAGCTATTAAGTTACAATTAATATCCTTATTTGTAGCTTTGGAAAATAGTACTATCATTTCCTAAGACAAATTCTTAAAGGAGGGTTGCGGGGTATGCCTTTTTAGACTCTGGAAAGCATATTGTCAAACTGCTCTGCAGAATAGTTACATTAATTTATACTCTCACCAGCCGCATTCAGGAGGCCTATTTCACCACACTCTTGACCTAATCTTGGGATTACCCATTTAAGAAACCTTTGGCGAACTGATAATGAAAAGTCACCTAGTTTTTATAACTCATTATGTCTATTTACATATTTCTTACAGAAAGATTGGATATACACTGATAACACAGTGTTATTACTGTTTACTCTTTCTTGGTTGTATGTCTTCATTTGACATTGAGGTTTTTTCCTTTCACTTTCAGAACTGGGATTTTATGTTTTTGAACTCCTTTACTTCTTTCCTTCCATTTCCTTAGTAATGAGCATGTGTTGGCTTAATTTAATTGAATGAAATTGAACACTTAATTCCTATTAAGACTTTTAACTATACTATATTTGGTCCAGTGTTTTTGTCTTTTTAAAATGAGGAGCACAGAGTTTTGTCCTGAGAGTTGGAAGACCTGTTTCTAATCTCAGTTTAGTCCCTGAATAGCTGTGCATCCTTGGGCATACCACTTCACCTCTCTGGACCTTTGCTTTCTTATATGTAACATGAGTGGGATGGTACTATCTTAGGTATCTTCTAGTTCTCAGATCACATAGATAAAATATTTCCTTCATGAGGTTTCTTTGAAGGCAAATTCTTGGAATATTCCCTTCGACTCTACCACAAATAGTGCTCTTTTCCAATACAGTGCCATCTCTTTGAGGCAAAACTTGCTGCTTAACAGAACTGTGATTCATTTCTAGAGTGCCATGAGCCCCAGGAACAATAGCAGCCACTACCATTCAAAAGCCACAGCCAAGACTTAAATGTGAAGTAGGTCTTATTTGGGGTGTGTGTGTGTGTGTGTGTGTGTGTGTGTGTGACAGTCCTTTGAAAATCTGTTGAAAGCTAGGGACCTATTCACAGAAAAACCCACATAAGGATATATGCACAAAATTTGGGGGGCCTCCTAGATCCTTGGAAGTCCATCCATATACTTCCTAGGAATACATGAATCCAAGGCAAGAACATTTGATTTGGGGACATTAAAGGGATCCCTGGAGATGAATTAAATGATCAAAAATGCTTCCTTCCTATTGGAAAAGGGAGCTGCCAGAGTAAATAAATATTTATAGAATACTATTCAAACTCTCCTTTTAAAACTGAACTATTATGATTACTTGCAAATACCCTCTTCATAAATCCAATCATGTACTAACTGGCTTACATCTTTTAGGCTAGAATGCGAACTGCTTGCCATGCATTTCAAGGTCCTACATCGTCTGGCTCTTCCCTGACCTCTTTTTACACTTTTGAGCCCCACAGGCCTTTCTTCTGCTCTGGAAACACACCAACTCCCTCCAAGTCAGTCCGCTTCTACTAAAGTTTCAGAATGACCGCTTTCTTCTACCCAGACCACTTCTCTGTTTGCCATCCTTAAGGATAAGTTCAAATGTCCTTTCCTTATGAATGCCTCCCTCAGCCACCTTGGCCCCTACCCTCGATGATTTGGTATCACATCATCCAACTTTTTCCCCACATAGTCAGTTTTCTCACAGTCCTGGATTTTGTTTTTATTTGCTTATTGGCTTCTCTCCCCACTAGAATGTTCCATGAGGGAAGGGTCCTTGCTTTTCTTGTTTATAACTGAACTCCCAGAGCCAGGCACAGTGCCTGGCACATGGCTGAAAGTAGGCACTCAATAACTAATAGCTGAAAGAATAAGCTTCAGCCATGGGTGGATTAAAAACTTACCAGGGTCTAAGTGTGAAAGAGTAAGGCACTCCTCTCCCATATTGAACTCTGACTGAAAACAAGACTGAACTGCACACTTAACATGTACTGAAATGAAAAGAGCTCCATTCTACATTGTCTGATTATAAGCCACGGAGCCCCTGCTTTGCTGGTGTCCTAAGTATATGAGCTCTTTATCTGCCTTTGGGGAATCTAGCACTCACTCACCCCTTTAAACGTGCCAAAAGCAATTTTAGGTTTAACTGGTCTCTGCCTGTACAAAACCATGCTAGGATTTTGGTAGGGGTTGTGTTCTAAATCTGTAGATCAATAGGAGAAGGGAGGAAAAAAACATGATGGGAATTAATCAGAGAGGGAGACAAATGATGAGATTCTTAACTATGGGAAAGATATTGAGGGCTGCTGGAGGGGAGGTGGGTAGGGGGGTGGGGTAACTGGGTGATGGGCATTAGGGAGGACCCATGATGTGATGAGCACTGAGTGTTACATGCAACTGATGAATCACTGACCTCTACATCTGAAACTAATGATGTTCTATATGTTGGCTAATTGAATTTAAATAAAAAAGTAAATCTATAGATCAATGTGGGAAGAACAATACTTATTTTACTGGTTCTTCCAGTCCATGAATATAGTGAGTGGCTCCAATTAATTAGGCCTTCTTTAACTTCACCAGCATTTTATATTTTTCAGCATACAGATCCCAGTCATGGTTTGTTAGAGTTATACCCAGAGATTTTATCTTCTTTGGAGCAATTTTAAGTGACATTTAGTTTTTAATTTGTTTCCACATGTTTGTTGTTAGCATATATAGAAGCTTTTTTAGTAGAACAGAAATGTGCTCTTTAACGAAGTAAACTTGTTCAACATTAACCTGTTGGACTAATAACCAGCTATTTATCCTAACATTCAAGAACCTTATAATGTGCCTCTAAATCTCTTAAATTTAGCCTAGTTCTTAATTGCTACACACCAGTCTCTACTGCTGTTGAAGGGTCTTCTCCTCACTCACCTGAATACACCTCATTCATTCTACCTCCGTGTCTTTGTTCATGCCATTTCCCCTCTAGAATAGACCTCCCACTGAGTCCTTTTAACCCAAACTAATCTTAATTACCCTTCAAGGATGAGGTCAAAGTTCCTCCGAAAATGACTTCCCTGACAATCCCAGACTACATTGCTCCTTTTTTTCTGCTGAACTCTTTTAACCAATACTGTGTGCCCCTCAATTACTAATTTAGTTTTTAATTAGTTCTAATCTACATCCCATTTCCCTTTCTGGATGCTATATACCGGGGAGGCTCCCATTACTAGCATTCATGGTACCACATGCATGAAAAACACATAAAGAAGGTGAGAGAAGTTTCAGGATGTGCAGTACTTAAAGGGTATTCCATACATTCTTGCTGAGTCTTTCATCCAGGCAAGATCTGTACTCTTCACCTGTAGGACAAGGATTCTCTCATTTCTTTCCTTCCCCCACATTCCAACTCTTCCAACTATGCAGACTTGAGATGCAGATCATTTTGACCTATCCCTTTCAAAATGTTCTAAAAACAGCACGTCTATGATTAGCAGATTTTTGGAGGTTTACTTGAAGAGCACAGGTAGTCCCATTAAAGCTGCAGTAACATCTCCTGGCCACCAGAGGACGGGGAGCCCTGGGAGAGATTGCTTCCTCCCAGCCCAAGTCTTAAGAGGTCAAAGGCAGAAGCAGAAGGTGGACTCTGCATCTGTGGCCTTCAGGCTTAATTTACTGCCCGACTTGGGATCATCAGTCTCTCATCTCCAGATGGGCTCTTTTTCCTCCTCTGGAAGATGAGGCTTACCCCAGTACTAACCTTAAGTGATTATCAGTAGGAACCAATGCACTGTATTTGCAGGATTTAAAGGCAGAAAAGGAATACAGAGATGTTTTATCTTTCTAACTCACCCCAAACCTGACTCTCAGTTCTTTGGCCAGTTAAAAAAAAAAAAAAAGTCCCCCAGGCTGTGTCCAAATGGACGTTCCACAACAAAGATGCCTTTAGGGACTGATGTCCCAACCAGGGCATTGCAAATGGAGTATTTTAGGAGCTAGATTATTCCTACACATAAATTTTGGCCCATGAAGCAGTCCACTCGCAGTGTGCTTTTCCGTCGTTAATCACATCTTTGTTATGTGATATTCACGTGAGTACTTCTCAGTAGAAGCAGCTTCATGCTCAAATGCTCAAAGAACACTAGAATAAAGCTCCGATTGTCCTATTCACGGATTCCAAGTCCTGGTTTGTCACCACCTCAGGTCTCTCATTTTCCAAAGAGTGTAATACAATCTTCAAAACAGCTATTTTGATTAATCCACATAGAAAATGCACGAAATGCGTAGAATTCAAGCAATAGGGATTTGCACCTCTCAAGAGGCAGAGAATCTCTGGTCTGATTTAAAAACGATTCTGTGCTGCCTGGTGTAGAAATCATTTTAGAAGGGAATTTCATGCCGCTCGTACTCATTGAATTCGTGAACGTAAATAAGTAAACATCGACAAAGTAAAATAATGAAAGTTAGGAACAGTCGTGTGGGGTCTTTCAACGACAAACACGTGTAGATCGCTGAGTGCCTGACAACACTAGTGATTTTTCTTTCAGTACCTGCAACGTCCCTTTCACAAGGACGGCAGTGACCTTCCTTTGGGATTCATCAGACTTTAGAGGGAGTGCTTGCAATTCTCTCAAATCATTGTTTGCATTTATTCACGCGGGTGAGGCAGCTGGAAAGAGCGCAGCCAGGGGGAAAAGGCTCCGCGTCTCGATCCGGGGTGGGCGGGGGGGGGGCGCACCCTGAAATACCTGTTGGGACGCAGACTCGGGCCCGGGGTCGGGGCTGGCGAGCGCGCGGACGCGGAAGGAGGAGGCCGCGGGGCGGCCTCCTCGGGCAGCCCCGGCTCCTCCCAGCGGCGCCTGCGGAACCTGCCTGCGAGTCGCCGAACTCCGGAACGGAACGTGACCCGACCCCTCCCCGCGCGGCCGAAGCCAAGGCTCGGAGCCGCGCTGCGGACCCGGGCGGCCGCGGGATGGGCGGGCGGGCGGGCGGGCGGGCGGGCGCACGGCCCCGCCCGGCGCCCACCGCCCTGCCCTCGCCTGTCTCCTCCTTTCCCCGGGGCTCCGCTGAGTTCATTCACTGGGATTGGTTTCAAGTGACGCCATCTCTTTATTTTTAAACCAATGACCTCATCCGCGCTTGAAGTTTCCTGACCAGCGACTCTTTCTCTTTCCCCCCAACCCCCCACCCCACCCCCCCGCCTTTCCCCCTCTGTGTATCACTGTTTGGGGGGCTTTAATCAGTTTTTAAACGATTATTATCACTTCTCCCTCCCCCCTCCGCTTTCCCCACGCGGCCCCCCACCTTCACCTCCCCAAGTTCTTCACCCCTTTCAACATTGTTTTTTCAAGGCTGACGGGGGGGGGGGGTGGAAGAGAAAGAGTGAAGAAAAGTTGCAAACGTCTCCTCTCTTTCTAAGCTTCCCGCCCCCACCCACCCCTCAGAGAAGGAGAAGATAATATAGTGAAAAGAAGAGGAGGAGAGCGCGACGGGACGGACGCAAGCGGGAGCGCAGCCGCCCTCCCGGCTCCGCGGCGGCGCCTCGCAAGCCGGGCAGGCGAGGGGGGCCCGAGGGGAGACGCCGTGACAACTTTCATTTCCCCCGGAGGGAGTCGGGAGGTCGGCGGCCCCAAAAGTAAGTGGCCTCCGGCCGGCCGCGCGGACCGTGCGTACGGGAGGGTGCGGGGCTCGGGACGCCCGCCCGCGCCGGCAGCATGGACGCTCCGCCGCGCGCTTGGACTCCCGCTGCCCGGCAGTGCGCTCTTGCCCCGCCGGCTCTGCCTTCCCTTCCCGGGCGTCCGGGCCACCTTTCCCGGAGGCGGGGTGGGGGCGACCGCGGCTCGGGGCCGCACGGGCGTTTTTTGGGGGGGGAAGTGTAGGCCTTGCAGGGGGCCGGGCCGAGCGGGAAGGGGGCGGGCGGCCGGACGCGGGGTCTCGGTCGGTGCGCCCCCGGCCGCACCGCGGCGAGCGGGCTAGGCCGGCGGATCCCGCTGCAAGGAGCCGCAGCCGTGGGACGCGGTACCTTCGCGGGCGAAGCTGCTCACTTCCAGGCGCGACTGTTACACAACACGCCTGCCAAGTGGGGCCCCGGCCTGACTGTTCCCATTATCCCAAATTCGCCTTTGGTGTAAGCAGCGAGGCCACCTGGGTGGTGACGGTGCTGCGTTCTTAAACCCTAGCGACCAACCAAAAACTCAGTTTTCATGCTGGGGCCCGAGTCACGGTGTTGGGGGGCCCAGCGCTCCTGTGACTTCTTTATTTACACTAGCGGTAAAACGTGAGAAATAAAAAAGCCCAAGGGGGCAGCTGAGGATCTGTTTATCATGTGTGGTTTCGTGTAATAAAACACCAGGGAGGAAAATATTTATACAGAATTGAAGCTCTCAGATAATGGGTTAATTTCCCAAAACAAACAAAACTCTGGAGATTAACTCGAGAAAATACGAGTAGATCTGAAAATGAATGGATACTGCAAAATCCTAAAGGAGTTTGTTAAACGCCAGCTGCAAAGATTCTAGGGTCCTGCTGTTTCAAATTGTTTGGAGAAAGTACACCTCTAACCAGCCCGTGGTGAATTAAGTAGAGGGGGAAAAACCTGTTGCATAATCTCATTTGCCGTGGGGTTTGCTGTGCTGTCCGCTTGAAGCAAGGGGAAGTGAGTTAAGATGCAGGGTTTTTAAAACTCTCTGAAGTTTTTATTTATCCACTGCTCTGGCTGCCACTTCGGCTTTAAAAGATTATAAGTAAATACTCAGCTCTTACAAGTCAACCAAACCTATCAAACCTGTTTAGAAAATGACCAGGTATGTTTCTTTTTTTTTCTTCCGGGGTGTGTGTGTGTGTGTGTGTGTGTGTGTGTGTGTGTGTGTGTATATGTATGTGTTTGTGTTTGAGAAATGTACCATCCATGAAAGACCTAACTGGGGAACTTAGGCTGCTTCTTTATGCCACTCATTTTGTGGGGCTCATTGAGAGTGCACATAGATGACAACTCTTTCCTCAAAGGTTGTATACTATTTCAAACTCCGTGAAGAAGAGAGATTTTAAGTTAAAGTGAATTTTTAAAGAAAAAAAGAATTCTTACCAGTTTAGTTACTTTTAGTTATTTACTTTTCCTTGAGAATCGTGTATATTGGTGGACACACAGCTTGGGAGGCCATAATTAATTCATACTTGTGGAGCTCTCTTATTTAGTAAAGGCAGAAAGCTTTAGAAGTGAATTGAAAAACTAGGAATTTGTGGCTTTGTGTAGGTATTTTCATCAGAATGTGACTGTGCACCGTGAAAATTTTTTGGTTTTTATTGTTTAAAAGTTGTAGAATTTACTGAGTCTGAGGACTGCGTAGGAGGTTGCTGTTAAAAAAAAAAATAGGGGGGAGTAGTTAACATTGAACGTCTCATGTAAAAACTTGGGCCAAATTCACCAGACCAAAAGTTAGTTTTTGGGTAAAATAGTGCGTAGTTATCAAAGTTCCACATGGGGGAAAATTAAAAATGGTTTATTAATTCTGCTGGTAATATGGTGAATAGTGTATGAAGGAAAGTGAGTTCAATTGCTGTAGCCCTACATTCATATGTAAAATAATTGAATCACTATAAAGTAAAAATAGTTGTGTAAAATTGAGGATTAGGGGTCTCTCTGGCCAAAAACTTAATGGCAGTAACTGAAAAGAGGGCAAAAGAGAAGATCCTGTTAACAATTCTTTTCCTTTTTCTTACACATTTTAAAACTTACTTGTAGAAGTGAGGCTGAGATCAGGTCTGAGATGGGCGCAGAGTTTAGTCTGGGACCAGGAGAGGGGCCAGGGTTAATGCTATTTTCTCTAATGCTTGTATCGGGAATTTGATTCTGTAGAGGTTTTGGTCTATGAGATTATATACTGATGAAACTGACTTACAAAGCAGTCCAATATTAATGTTTTCATATTTTCAAGCAATCACAATATCCTACTAAATGCATTTTGCTAGAATTACCAGTGCAGTTTTCCCCAGAAACCTAACTTTTCCTGGATTATCTAAAAAAATGAGATTTCCTACCCTGTGTTATTTGGACTAAAATTTTCACTGAACATTTAATTGTTTTTAAAATGCTTTGCATTCTCAAGCAAATGCTATTTTAAGTTGAAGTAAATTAATATAGAGTAAGTTGATTTGGATCAGAATTCCAAGAAAAGGGAGGAAAGAAATCAGGGCAAACAGAAACCAGATTTTATGACAGACTTCAACAGATTGAAAAAAAAACTAGTTAAAAGACTCTGCAGGAAAAACCACAGTTGATGCTTGATTGACTTTTTAAAAATTGCATCAAAATCAAAACCAAGACAGATATCCACCATCATGAAAGAAAATATTACTAATGTTGTCTTAAACAAAAACACAATTAAGAAAGTAAGTGTTGCCCAAAGCCATGTGATATATTTCAAAGCCAGATGTCAATTTTTTTAAAAAATTTTCTTGTGTTGTGGATAATCTCGTATTTTTTATATTCCATTAGCTCAGATGATCAAGGGTTGGCTGTGTGAAGGGATGAGGTTCATAAAGATTGGCTGTATTTAAAGAAGCAAGCTCAGGCTTTAAGAATAGGCCATTCTCGTACACTGAGAGAGTTTGAAATTTAATCAAATGAATACAGAAGTGGCTCAAAAGGAAGGTTCTAAGGCAGATTACTATGGACAGGTATAAAGAAATAAAAGCTTGCCAGGGGTATGATCAATAAAGAAGGAAATAGGATACCTCTTGGCATGAAAGAAAAAAGGGATAAAGGGGAAAAAAGTACTCTTCAGTACTTCAGCAACAAGAAGGGGGTAATGAAACTTCTCCTCCTTGACTGGGATAGATACCACATTATAGGTATTATCAAAAAGTCACGAGATTTTTCATGACAATAAGTTTAATCTTGGGAGAAGGGATTGTTAAAGTAAATTATGAGCATAAGTTATATGAGAATGTAGAACTTGAAATTGCCAAATATAAAGTAGAGACCCACTGCAGTTTCAACTGAGTTGTTAGAAAGAGAGGGATAGGTTATAAAAAGTTGGAACTATTGACTAAATTGATTTGTAGATTAACTATAGATACAAATCGGTCAAGCAAAACATTTATTAATGATAGGCTATTTATATATACCGAAGTGGATACCAAAAGCTGGAGACATGGACTCATAACTTTAATAAGGAGAGGAGGATTTTAAGAATTTTAAGCAGAGTATGTACATTTGTAAAGATAAAAATTCTTAGACAGCTGGGAATGGCCAAATTCATGGTATAAGGGAGATAAAGATTGGAGCATTGGGGGAGGTAATGGTGAGTTAATCTTCATAGAGATAACAGAATTTGACCTTGGCCATAAAGGATGGTTAATGTGTATGGAGGAAAGGAAGTAGGGGAAGGTCATTTATCCATCTCTTCATTCAGCAAATTAATTTGGAGCCTTTACTGTATGTAGGCACTGTTCTAGGAACTGGGCATACAGTGGAAAATAAAGTTTTTGTCCTTATGGGCCTTACATTCTAGTGAGAGAAGAGGAAAATCTGATGACAAATGAGATGTCTAATGAAGATAATGGGCAGGGTCAAGGAAATTATAGAAAGCTAGTTAGGTTCCCATTTACTTTATTTTGTGTATAATATTCTAATGAATGTAAATGATACAAATATTTATTAGAGCACAGAGGGAGAGTGAGAGGGAGAAGCAGACTCCGCACCTAGCAGATATCCAGATCTGCAGCTTGATTCTCCTGGGGTCATGATCTGAGCCCAAGGCAGACACTTAACTAACAGCCTCCCAGACACCCCTATACTGTTTTTCTACAATAGAAATTTGAAGCAAAATATCAGTTCCGAAATGGGGAAGTCTGGACTCACTGTAGTTATCTAACCACTAGGTTTTGTTGCTGTTGAGAAGATGTTCTTCATCGTGTCAACCAAATTTTTTTAGTGACTATTACATGTTTTTAGACACATTTATGAAGTACTTCTCAAACATTCTGTAAGAAATATGTTTTAAATGAAAAGATCTATAGGTGAAATTGAGGTAAAGGATTCTAAAAAGGATTTATATTACTTGTATATTACATATGCTTCTACAATTCATTCTGACGTACTTGGGATAATCGTATGGAAAAGAAAACAGTTTTCAGAGGAGGTGGGAAATTCTTTAGCATTACCTTGGTCTCCTTCTAAACTAAATATTCAGAGAATTGTAGATATAGACACTAGGGGTCTGGTGTGTGTGAGAAGGACAATAGAATTCAGATTTGTTTTAGTGACTGCATGAGGGGTGGGTCAGACTGTAGGTTACAGAGAAAAGATGCACTATAAATTGTAATGGTAAATGACAAGGTCATTAATATTAAATAATTTCCATTCTTCCCCTTAAAATCAATGGGGAAAGACATGTGTAGAGAGCTGTATCCTGCTTATTGTTTGCATTGTATAAATTTTAAAAATATACCACTCATATCCTGGGTGGTGCCTAGTAGAGTCGTCTTTTGATAAATGTTTGCTGAACAAATTGAATAAATTCTCAAAACTGTCACTTTTGACCATGGTTCCATTACATCTCTAGCTTAGAGCATTGTTTTTTGAGCTTTGAGTTGAAACCTGCAAGGGGTTGCCTTATAGTCTTGGCCACCTGACTTGTTTGAGCAGTGTTGCTCACTCTAGAACCTGGACCCTGACCTCAGCTTCAGCTTGTCCTGGTGCTGTGGCAGACCTGACCTCATCTTTTCCGAAGTGGTGGGTGATTGTCTCCTATCAGCTCTCTCTTCCTGAGTAACTGAGGTGTGTCTTCTGGTCTCATCTCAGAACACTGAAGTGTTGCTAGTCTGGCCTATTTTATAGTGGGTTTCTTTTGTTATTTTTGTTTGTTGTTTGGTTGGGAGAGAAGCACATTCCTCAGGAAGATAGTTGTTGACTTTGTTTTGTAGATTGGACATGGTATATAAAGCATGATATTATTTCCTTTTCCTTCCTAGCTTTAGCTTAAAATCTTGTGTTCACTTGAAAATGAACTGGTAAGTGATTTTTTTTGATGATACGAACCAACTAAAAACTATCAAGACTTTTTTTCTGGAGATACTCAGGAAACATGAAGTGTGTATTGGATGATATATAAGAATTATAACCATTAAGTTTTTATTCATGTTAATGGTATTGTGATCATGTTAAAAAATTCTCATCTATTAAAGAAACATATGGAAGTATTTATAGGCAAAATGAAATGCTCTCTAATATATGTATGGAAGTATTTATAGGCAAAATGAAATGCTCTCTAATATATGTATTTCAGGATAGGCACAAACATACACACAAATGGGAAGCAAAACAATATCGGCAAATTTTTAAAAAAAGTTTTTATTTATTTATTTGACAGAGAAATAGCAAAAGTAGACAGAGCGGCAGGCAGAGGGAGAGGGAGGAACAGGCTCTCTGCTGAGCAGGGAGCCTGATGTGGGGCTCGATCCTGGGACTCCTGTGATCATGACTTGAGCTGAAGGCAGCTGCTTAACCAACTGAACCACCCAGGTACCCCATTATTGGCAAATTTTTGATAATTGTTGGAGCTAGGTGATGGGTACATTGGGGTATGTTATTATTGTCTGTATTTTTATCTATAATTGGAAATACCCATAATTGAAATATACATTGTCAATTATAACTGTAGAGGAAGACATTTACTACAATAACTTTTGTGGTTGGACATTTGAGCTAATTGACTAATCAAAGATCTCCTCTTCACATTTTCTGTAAGTTCTGCTTTTAGTAATGGATTTTTTAAAATAAGGAGAAATTTGGTCATTAGATGTATTTAAAACTCAACTTTGAGACTTGTAATAATAACATACTTATAGTGTATAAATTGCTTTGACATATTTTTTCTTTTATCCTCAGAACAAGATATGAGTTATCCATTTTACAGATGAGGAAACTAAGAACTTAGACTAAGTAATTTATCCAGATCCCAAAGCAAGTAAGAAGTGGTGCTAGACCTGGAGCCAAGATCTTCTGATTCGTTTTCAGGTGCTTATTTTATTATATATACATTCTTACAAGTGCTCTTTCTTTGCGGTATTATAAACCACTGGTTTTGAAACATTTTGGTGTCAGGACACCTTGTACTCCTAAAAAATTATCAAAGACCCCAAAGATCTTTTGTTTATGTGGACTATATCAACATTCAACATATTAGAAATGAACTCTGAGAAATATTTAAAATGTTTATTCATTTAAAAATAGCAAACTTGGGACTCCTGGGTAGCTCAGTCGGTTAAACCGCGGCCTTTGGCTCGGGTCATGATCCCGGGGTCCTGGGATTGAGTCCTGCATCGGGCTCCTTGCTCGGCAGGGAGCCTGCTTCTCTCTCCGCCTCTGCCTGTTTGTGTGCTCTCTCTCTCTCTCTGACAAATAAGTAAAATCTTAAAAAAAAAAAAATAACAAACTCATTAAAGGTTAATATAGATAACACAGTTTCATGAAAAAGATAGCCCAAAGCAAAAAATAGAGTGATAAGTGTGACATTTGCATTTTGCCACTTTCTTTACTGTGTTGCTTAATAGAAAACAGTTGGATTTTCATAACTGCTTTTGTATTCCAATCTGTTGTGATAGTTTTATTTGAATTATATGGGGAAAGCCCTCTGTACACAGATACATAGTAGAAAAAGAGTAGACTGTTTTAATCGCTTTCATAATTGAGTATCCTTTGTCACATCAAAACTCATCAAGTGGTAGATCCTTAAAAGTTAGTTGCAGTGTTGAATCTGAAACCATACCAGTGATTTTTTAAATATTCTGTAACATTAAAATTCTATTGGTCCATCTTGAACTTTGAATGGATCTTTGACCTGTGTGTGATTTTGTAACATCGTTGGTTATTTGAAAAATAATGGTTTACTGAGTTATACAGATCTTTCAAATGTTGACACATTTGATTACACAATATTTAACAAATCACATTCATTAATTTGACTGTTATTCTCCTCAAAATGCTTTTGAGAATTGGGAAGTGGTCAAGATTTTGCTGTTGAGTTCAAGTTTTCCAAAATTCTAACCTTTTCTTGAAAGCTCAGATTTTATCATCGGCAACAGATATTGTCAGTTTTTTCCTTGAAGTGTCAGGCTCACTTTATTCATTTTAGAAAAAATGCCTGCCAAATACCTCAGTCTGAATAAGTGTTGTCTGCCAGTCATTCTTTTAAGCAAAAATGGTATTCTGTGAAAAAAGTATAGTTTAGCTTTTAACTCCAACAATTGTATAAATTATTTTCCTTAAGACTCCTATTAAGTATGCAGCACAAGTGTTTTTTGTGTACCTCCCATTTCCTCACACAGATTATGAAAAAGACCAAGTTCTCAAGAGAGAGGTGAAATAAAATTAATAACCCTTAATGTTTTATCAAGGACATTGTGAAGTGAAACTGGCTTTTTTTTTTTAAATGACTGATGTAGTGAAGAATATGCTTATTACAAGTACAGTTTCATACTTCTGCCTTGATTCACGCAAAAGCATCAGCACTTTTGCTCGTCTTTGCTTTTGCACCATCAGAGCAGATATCAACATAGTTCTTTCAGGATAAATCATGACACTCAAAAAAGTTACTTAACACTTTGAGTAATTCAACAGCATTCTTATTTGTTGCAACCATTCACATAAAAGAAGACCTACTTTGATTAGTTGGCATGGATACGGGAATAGTGAAAACAAAACAGTAAGTCTACCTGTGTCTATGGATTTTTCTACTTATAAAGCCGAAGTACAGTCCTTAAGGCGAGATGCTAACTTCTAACTCATGTAACTACTCATAACAATTAATTTGATGAGATACTGCATCATTTCTAAGTGGCACTGCTGTGATTTCTTTTACAGACTTTCCATCCAGCAGACATTCAGCAGTGTTAACCATACCAAGCTTCATCAGTTTCTCAGCTGTTGTGCGCACTGTTCCAACCAGTGCAGTGTGGTTATTTACCCTGGATAATGCCTCAGTGGCTTATTTCTAATATGTAAAGTCTTTTACTTTTAAAGAGCTTGTCTTCTCAGTGTTTAAAACATTTGATTTCTTTTCCTTTAAATACTGAGTGAATTCATTGGATGATAATGAAGTTGTGGAGATTATAGCAGATATTAGCAAAGATTGATTTTGCTAGGAACTTGGAAGTACTGAGAACACAACTTATTTCTGAAAATGTATATATTTATGCCTTAAACTGACTGCCTTAGAAAATTCTAAAAAACACTAGTTTTTCTAAAATAAACTAGTTTCACTAGTTGTCAGCATGATACATTATCACACACCATGTATCCTCTAGATTTGCTGTTGTACATTCATGAGAGAATGAGAGCAAAAAAGGCAGATAACATCTTCCTGTTACTAAACATAGTTTTGCCAGTGTGGATCCCCTGAAAGGCTCTCAGGGACCTCCTACCAATGGTCTCTGGGTCACACTTCTGTAATGCTGATATAGACTAGCACCATGTCCTAACATATTTTTAGAGAAATCTGACATAGACATCTATATAAATTAAGTAATGTTCCCATCTTAACTAATTTATCAGGAAGAAGGGAATATCCTAGTGTGTGCGATGAGCCATGTGACGCAGAGACCATAATGTGTGGAAGGTCATATAGTATCAGAAAGTGATTGGATAAAGGATAGACAGGAGGCAGGAACTGGTAAAAAGCACTCTGCAACTGAACAAAAAAATGAGCATTTGTTCTCCCTGTTTTTCTTTTTTTAAACTAGAAAAGCAAAGAGCCCACATGTATGCACATACATAGATATCTGTTCATACTCATTTAGATCTGTGCTCAAAATTAGGAGTACTTGCTCATTTTCTTCTCAAATGGCAATAGAAGAGTTATTTTTATAATTGAGAGGAGAATGGGGGCTCATGGCACTTGTTTGTTCCTTCCAACCAGGGAGGCTGTTGACCTTTTTTTCCCCCTAAGGAAACTGAGGAATGACAGAAGACAAATAAGGTTAGAAAGAAGAAATTATGAAACAAGAGTGAGTGGTGTAGACATTGGTGATCATGGGAACAGCAGCAGGCAGGACTGGGCTGTGGACAGAGTGGAGAGATAAGCCCTGGAGGGCAGAGAGGACTGGGGGGTGAAGTGAGTTCTCCCGTGTGCTGGGTGCAGGGAGAATGGGGCCTGGGCAGGTACAGAGCTGGGTGCAGCAGGAGTCATGGAGATGACCGTATATTTGAAAGATTTCCATCACAATGTGGTTAAAGTAACTATTTAAATCACTGCACTGGGTAGTCTGACTCTTAGTGCCTTACCAACATTTAAATTTTATTATTATAACCTATTGTAGTCCATTGTAGTAGGAGAAAATAGCAACGCCATGAGTTTGGTGTAGTGCCGGTAAGTCCCTCAGGTTTGGCTGTGAGCATCAGTATATGAAAATATTGAGTGGGCCAGCTTTGGGACTGCAGATTCAAGAGTGAAATTGTAATAATTTAGTTTTTACTAACAGGAGACAAAAGAATTTAGTTCCAATAGATATCATTTATCAGTTTGTTGTATATGCAGTACTGTTCACAAAAAGGATTTGAGATGGTGGGAAGGAGGATCAAAGTCAGTGAGAAGAACAAATATGATTTTTAAAAAAATTTTTTAAAAAGATTTTTATTTATTTGACAGAGATCACAAGTAGGCAGAGAGGCAGGCAGAGAGAGAGGGGAAAGCAGGCTCCCCGCTGGGCAGAGAGCCCGATGTGGGGCTCGATGTGGGACTCGATCCCAGGACCCTGGGATCATGACCTGAGCTGAACGCAGAGGCTTTAACCCCTGAGCCACCCAGGTGCCCCACAAATATGATTCTAAATCATGTTTTTTTCCTTATGTTTTTCCTATTGATGACATTTTAATAGTTATATAGTTGAGGTACTGTACAATAATTGGTCTCTATTACCTATTCAGGAGAAATATAATCGTGTCACCTCTTAGTTACATGTAGTATAAGAATATTTAACAAAAAAGTGGACAAGATTAAAGAGAAGATAGGAAAATGTTTCCTAGTCACATTACTGAGTAGTATCTCTAATAAAGATCTTGATGGTATAGAAGGTTAAAGCTAAAATGAGGTTTTGATTTTTGGGCAGTTACTTATATTCTGCCCCAAATTTCCACTGAAAGTGGAAAATGAAATACATTTTTATTTTTATAGAGGAACATGTATATACATGTGTGTAGTCTATAATCAGAACACTCTCGTGCAGTGTCCCAAGAAAATGCAAGTTATCCTACCAGGAGGCTTAATTTTAAATGCTATGGTTAGGAACCTGGTAGAAATCCCCTTTTGCTTGTTGGGTGTTTGTTCTTGTTTGTTAATATTATTGCACCACATATTTGTCTTGGATAAAATTAAAGGACAACTAAAGGAAAGTGATTCCCTTCATGCATTGTGGCAACTAAATTCTACTTGAATGAGGCAGAACCTTTGAGGTTTCAAGTGCCTTTAAATGGGATTCTACTAAAAAAAAAAAATGGGATTCTACTTGCGTTTCAGCGAGAGCAGTGGTCTGCTTCCTCTTATAAAACTCTGTCAAAATTATATGAATTTGGACATACAGTGAGTTGAAAATCCTATTCCCAACTCTAGCAAATTGCAGAGCAATTACACTGCTTATAAAAGAGGCTGTTAAAATGTTAACCTAAAAAGTTTTCATCTTCTATCCATCAAAAATCTTACAGAATGATCCCACTGCATTTTATTTGTGGTTTATCAGTATTGGGAGACCCTGGAGATTAACATTGTTAACTGTGGCATTTAAGGGACCAAAGGCACCGACGCTTTGAGGTGTATTTTTAAGAACAAAATGCATGTATGTCTACAAATTTAACAGTTGCTTTAAACAGCTTAAGGGTAGCTTAGAGGCATCTGATTTCATTACCATATAATATCCAAATATTAGAAACTTTTTCCTCTCCCGAAACCCTCTTAAGTATGTAATTAAAGCAATTGTTTTCATTTTTCCTTATGTGAGTGACTAAGAGCCTTGTTAATGTAAATA